AACTAGTTCAATCAATTCATCAAACATTGTTTCTCTAATGAAGCGATATATTATGTCAATGTGCTTCATGTCATGTGTAAATCTGTTGTTATTGTTATGTTTATATTTGTTTATATACTAACTCTAGTTGAGTTAATCATAGGTAGAGCCTAGGTTATGTCACTACTATCAAAGAGTATAGATCCGTTTATTCAAAAAACAATATGTTCTTCGAGTTGAGACTTTCGCGAAGTAAATAGCTTTCAATAGATTGGCAATGGTGTACCGTTAGCTTAGACATATGGATTGGATTTGGCTTGACTTTTATGTGAGGGTTTGAAGTAAGGTTGCAAGAACTATTTTCACTCAAAAAACTATCTTGAGGTTGAGTTATCGTTGAAGTTTGGACTTTGCTAAAGTGCAACTTCCGGACTTAATCTTAGGTTTATCTCATATGACTTTGTGTAACAATAGAGTTTTAGAAAATTTCACTCAAAGATAAAAAACATGAAGTCTGAAGACCAACATATAATATGAATGATACTCAAAAATGGAATTTACTGCAACACTTTCAATCTATGTATAATATCAAACTAAGGAAACATAATATCAATTTTATCCATACATTTATTCATATTCAATATTTAAAAACAATGATTATGATTTTTCATGAAATCCAACTCATGGATTTTCATTATAATTGAATATTGTATTTTAGCTTAATTTTAAATCAAAAGTCAAATTTCAATTATTTTGATCATAAAAAATGTCATAATGATCATTTTAAATTTTCATTGACGTTGAATGTAAATCAATGATAGTTTTTGGCAATTTATATGAGATTATGTACAGATATTTTTATTTATTTTATAATATGATAAATATGATGAATGAAAAGTTAATGAAATTAATGAAGAAGAAGTTTGAAACATTTAGTTTTCTTTTTATAAAATTGAATCAACAAAATAATAAAAGTTGAAAAGTGAAATCATATTTAAATTGTGTGTTTTTATGATTTCAAAATTTGTGTGAAACTTAAACACACTAATAATAAAACACTATCATCAAATTTTGGAAATTCTTGTTTTTACCAAAAATAGCAACTGCATTTAATCTAAAGAAATATTATGAATTTTTTCAACCTCTATTTATTATGAACATGCTTCCAATTTGTTGAATGAACACTTGTGAATATAAAGAAAATAAGAAGAATTGCAATTTTTATATGAATTTTTGTTAAAGAAAATTTAAATGTTAGAACATATGTTTAAACAAACCAATGGATATGTTAATATATTGAAAGATCTCATCTCTACATTGGTTACAAATACATCAACTACATTTTCATCTATTGAATATTTCAAGCATTTTGACAAGCAAATTCAATGTAGATTGCATGCAATCACTTGTTCTATTTAAGTAAAAAATTAATATCAACATTTTAATAAAGAAAATACCCTCATTGAAAATTTCATCAACACTTCATTATTACATTAAGTCACGAGTTATTTGAAATACTGTCTGAATACACTTGTTCAAAAATTTGACTTTTGAATTTATTTTACTTTTATGAATAAACTAGCAAAAATCTCAAATAATTTGTATGTAGTATCTTCTCTTCACTTCTAAACTAGTACAAACTGCCTCGGTCATTTAACAAAAGTTGCACAAAGTAGTTTTTGTTCAATATATCAAATCTCAATTTAGTTTAATATATCAGTTCATACATTAGTTTTGTTTCTTCATTTTTAGTTCATTTTTTAAACTTTTAACTAACGAAGTTATTGAATTTGGTCATTAGAAAAACTAATGAATAGCTTGGATGGATCGCATGTAGATATTTTGCAAGCTTATGCTAAGAACGTGATGTCATTTTATTATGAGGAAACCAAGTAATAAGTAGTTGTAATTAATCAATTGCATTGCATGTAAATGATTGTAATACTTCATTCATTATTTTTTTTGCATTTTTTTTCAAACAAGTTTGTACTTACATCAAAGAAATGTCAAAGAATGTGGGTTTTTATACTAACAATTCTTGTGTGTTGTAAGTAATATGATATTCATAGTTTGAATATTGTAGATATTATTAGAAAATAAAACTTCAATTTCAGTTTCAATCTAATCTAGTATGTTTTTAAATGCATGAATGTTTTGTTATCTTTCATTACCATGTATTCAACCTTCACTGTTTAGGTCGTACAGTCATATATTTGTTGGCTATTTACCTTTATTAATTTATACGGTTAGGTGTCATGCATTTATTGAGAAATAAATATTAATTAAATATCATGCAAATCAATATCTTATATCCTCTGAATTTATCTAAAAAAAAAATCCATGTATCAAACTAAACTTATGCTTATTACTGTATATCATAATTTCTATACAGTTTAATAGATGCAACAGTATGATTTATGATTCACACATGTGTAAATATGAAAAAAATAATTTTATTTCAAATGTGTATAACCTGAAATTACACTTGCAAAACTTATGACAACATTTAGTATTGAGTTATAGATTGATGCAATTTTACGTTTTGAAATTATTTGGTTGGTTCAAATGTGTATAACCTAAAATTACACTTGCAAAAAGTATGACGACATTTAGTATCGAGTTCTAGATTGATGCAATTTTACATTTCATGCTTTCATATGGATTTTACAAAGATTGAACATACGGTAAGACTCGGTACACCAAACAATATCATGACAGAATTATTGCCAGATAGAACTTTCAAGATATTTCTTCTTGTGTTGTGATCCAAACTATAGCTAGTGATGTATGATGCATGTATCTATAACAACATAAGATATAACGACATGATTTGTAAAAAATGTAGATAGAAAAACAATATTAAAATATTTTTATCAACAGATAATAGTACACAACAGAAATTTTCAATGCAGAGAAAAGTAATCAACATAGAACTTGTATTTTGAAAAGGATTTCTGCATGTAATGGGGCTTCGGTGCATTTATATATTACAAACTAGATGTAATTTACTACTGTATACAGTAAGTCACCTTCATTTAAAAAGTTAGTCGTGGATTACATCCATGGTCCCGGAACCGAGTTGTTGAGGAGAAGGCATAAATTAATTACTTTTAGATTCGTTGTTTTTTAACACAAAGTGCTTCTATGTTGACCAAGAAGTGGCTGTAGAAATTATGAATGCCTTACGATATAACCTGCGGTTCTAACTTCTGCTACGTCGCTCACTGGGAATTTGACTTGCCATGATGTACCATGATCTCCAATTTATTCTCACTCAATTTTCTGAATAGAATTCTTTATCTTAAATCAATGGACTTTACTATACCTCAGATTCTCTTTTAGTGAGAATGTCTAATAGTTGTGGGGTGTCTAATGTCTAAGAGTAGTAGGAATTAGTATCATAAGCAGGCTCTATATGGTTTTATACAGAATTTCTATTCTCTCACAATGATCTCTATCAACCTTTTAGACTACCACTAAATTACCATGTTGATTTTAACTCTTATGTCTTGTACACACTCATTCACGTATGAATATTGACCGTATTTTAGGAGGAAGGTTCCATCTACATTCCATTCATTCTGTGCCCATATCTGCTCATAAGGCCATGTTTTGATGGTTGGCAAAGGAAAAATGTATGTTGAAGAATTCGTTAGGACTCTTTAGTCTGCTATACTAGTTAACATTCTATCAACGTAAAGAAATATTTTACATTAATCTCACCAATAAGATTCGTAACAATGATAAACATCAAATCTTCTGCATTGATACAAAATGAATCTGACTAACACGGATTGCAAAAATTGGACCCCATTAATAAGCATCGAACTTTCAACATTATTATGATTCATTGAATAGGGTAGGATATTCAAACGAAAGATTTTCCTCACCTTAAATTGCGCTTTGCTAATTAGAAGAATTTCATAAATTTATTAGAACTCTGCAATCCAAAAGAACTGCAAAGATAATTGAAATTAAATTAAATCTAACCTCAATATATTTCAAAAAATATAAAAGAAAAAAGCTCATGATGTTAAACATTTGATATATACAATCCTTGCATTTAAGTCAGAAGTATTCAAATATGATCAAAAATAAATGTACCTGTTTAATATTGTATAAAGATACAAACATTAAATCAATGCAAGTTCTTTTTAACATCAGCAATAAAAATTTAATATTAAAGCCAACATATAATATAAATTTTTGATTTATGAAAAATTAAATTTGCAAATTTTTGTAGAATCATGTTAATAGATATCAACTTTGAGAAAATCTACGATAAATCTTAATCAATTAAATTCTTACATACAATAATTTTGTTTGTTTATCTCTAATGTTCTTGCATTCATAATCTGTATTAAGGTTATATCATTTTATGAATATACATAAATAAACGTAAGTATATCAAACATTATTTATCTTCTATAAAAATAATTTTAAGCAAATACTAAAGAATTGAACTCTAAATACATTTGACTTGATTATGAAATATTCAACAAGTCATACTCTTAAGGATCATCAAAATTGCTAATGTCTTATAATATCACAAAACTTATAATATCTTATATGTGGGAGAATTATTTCCGATAATAATCAAAATATTGAAAATATCAATCTCACATGACCTGGAACATGGTATATGGGCTAATATAATTGGGTAATGCTTTTGGTAGGTAATGAAATGGTTGCTTTAAGTATGTGTAGAAAGTGATACTCACAGTATTACATAATATTTTATGAGCAGCGTGGTTAAAATCGTTTGCAACATCCAGCGTGAATGTAATGTTACATAAATGCAATGATTGCAAGTTTACTAGGTGAACTCTCTTCGTTCTCATTTACAATTGTAGATATTTGATGATGCCACCGCGTGCAGTCCAATATTTATAAACATCACCTCAAGAACTTTGTAGTATGTGATTTCGATAACAAGCTCATCTCTCTAATTTGGAATCATGTGAACGAATATAGATATCCCGCACCTCCAGCAAACCAGGCGGCGTGTTCTATTCCCGCCGAAATTTGCATGTGTGACACTCAAGAGTATGAGGTTCGGACAGAGCGCGCTGCAGGTCGGAGAATGACTCTCTGCCCGTTTGGTCTCTGGAGATGCACAGCGCGAGTAAATGCAGCTAGGACTGAATTTGGCGATGACTCTTCGTTTGCTGGATAGTGTCTGAGAGGTTTACGTCGAGGACTTTGACGAAGGTCGTTGGATTCGATGGCTGCTCGGTCTAGCTCGGACCGGGAGTTTGCGCTGTTCTCGGGCGCGGAGGTGCTTTTACTCTTTATGTTGTGATCCTTGTACTCTTCCGCCCGATCATACTATGGTGTATAATCTGTATGTTGAATTCTCCGCGACTGGTTGTCGATGCGGTCTTAAAAATTGCGAAACTTATATTCCGAGATTGCTGAAGTTCGTGACTTTTGAATAGGTGGAGTTTTTGGCGGAGGATGACACGGTTGTCATGGTTCCTACTCTACGAATAGACACCCTGCACTTGATTTGTGTAAGCTTCCGACCCGGTCCCTCTGAGTTCAGACGTTTTGAACGATTTTCCAGCCTCCTCCGACATGCCCATTGCCTTGAAACAATTTCTCTTCTCTCTGTTGCATATGGCAGTCGTCCTTTCCTTCATTCCGCAGGCTGTCAGCTGCTACCCGCCAGCTTGACGAGAGTCTGTGCGTAAATGTCAAGCATTCACACCGAATGAAACTGCTGTCTAGTTCAAGCGTTGTAGGCAAAATTGTCGTACCTTGGCCTTAATTTATTGACTCCAGCTGTTATGCATTTCAAGTAGAACTTCACACATGAAGACACGGATTGGTCCCTTTCATCCGGCTTCGAGGCGTGAATGCAAGTCAGTTTGTGATTTTATACTTTCGACCTAGCAGTGCTGGAATCTCCGAAATGACAGACACACTGTCAGTCGTTTGAGTTTGTGAGTCTACTATCAAGTTACGCAAACACTGAGATTCCCGATTTTGCTTTGCCTTCAAGGATGTTTAGCGGCTGAAGCTGTAGTGGATTATTGTGGCATTTGGTGAGGATGGCCGATTTCTCTACATCAACGCACTGTCATCATTGGATTTTGCATCGTTCAACTCTGGTGAGTGAGTCGATTGTTTGACCGGCCGCCTGAATGAATTTGAGAAGGAACATCTTTCATCTGCTAGGGCAAGCCATCGACATGTATTAGGAGGATAAGTATATTCATATTCCAAGACAAATTTACACACTAGTTTCAATTTTCTCCAGGTTGACAAGTTATCTAATAGCAATCAAAGGGCACAAGAAGCTCTTGTAAAGGTAAGTAATTAAATCAAGCCGTTTTCTTTAGCTGAAAGGAGAACATTCGTTGACAAGCTGCACGCAATCCTAGTATGATTGTATAATTATTCCGGCTTCTATCGTGTGCGATTTGTGTAATTCGGAGATCATGCAGAATGTAATTTAGTTTTCGTAAAGATTTTGCAGTCATTTACATGATTGTCAATATTCAGCCGTTGATGTTTTTTGTGTAGATGGTGCCACCCGAGTGGACGTTCCGCCGGACGGATTTTCGGCTTATCCGGAGAACCTTGAAGTGGAGGCTGGTAAGCTGAAGTAGTGGTAGTTTGATAGTTTTCTAGATTTCAAGTGTTCACTGTATATAGTGGAACTGTAACTATTACACCATAAAGGTTGACAGAGACTGTCTATGCAGCAAATGGAAAGAGAGATCCGACTCCTGAACACCTGACCGTGGAGGAAGAACTGATGATGAGGATTCACTACGAGCAGAAAATTCAAGAAGTGTGTAAAGCATTTGCATTTCCGAACAAAGTTCAGGTACTCAAAAGAGCTCTTTCCTTACTTTGCTTTTATTTCTTAACCTCTGTTGTCACTCACTTCACCCTGGTAATTGTGTTTTTTGTTTCATAATGTCTTTGAAGTCCACAGCAATTTTGTACTTCAAGCGCTTTTATTTGAAGTCGTCTGTTATGGAGCATCATCCAAAACATATTATGTGAGTGAAGATCTCTCTTTTTTCGGCTTCAGCTGTATTATATTTCACAATAGGTTCCTCTTTTGATCATCCAGACCATCCATTTTTTAAGACCTTGTTAGTTTAGTTCTTTTTAGATCAATCTCTCCTTCGTCAATCAGGGTCCTCATAAAGGCACTATATGGACACTATATGGACATGACGTCTTGGAAATGTTCTGAAATGTACAGGCTTACGTGCATTTACCTTTCATGTAAAGTTGAAGAGTTTCACTTTTCGGCGGAGGAGCTAGGCAAGGGTAGCAAGCAAGATCCGCAAGTGGTCTTGAAGAATGAAATGACGGTTTTACAAGTGAGTCTCATGGCCACTTATCCAAACAAACAAAGAATAACTTAAACCATGTCCATCAAAGGGTGTCTCTAATTGAAAGAACCTCATCCTTTAAGTTCATTTGCTTTATCCCCAATGATGGGGTAATATATTCTTGATATGCATCCGATACGTAAACATCGAGAGGTGGTCATGTAACAAACATATATATTTAATACTAACGATTATCTCTTTTGATAATGTCCTCTGCTGAACCGCAGTGCCTGAACTTCGAACTTATCGTTTACGCACCGTACAGATCCTTGGATGGTTACATTTTTGATCTAGAGGTCTGTATTGACAACGGAAAGCTCAAATTTCAAATTTCTATAGATTTTATCGAGATTGTGCACATTTGTATGTTGGGTAGTCATCCTTTTAGTTGTCAATGTAGGACATCCTCGACCAAATCTGAAATGGTTCAATTTTCACATGTAGAATTCTGTTCAAATGATGGGTGCGGTAGCTGTCAAAAATGTCCAGGTAAGTGTGCCAACTCTCATATTGTCTTGTCTTACGTTAAGACCTAATTGAAACTGAGTTGTTTCTCTGAATGGAGAAACAGTCATGTGTCCCCTTCAAAAGATGTTCTTGTTAGTGATTTGGAGTCCTGCTAATTTCTGCATTCTGATAGCCAATAGACCAGAAAAAAATCAGTGCATCATTACTCATCGTCTGCCTGGATAATACTTATGGCATATATATATGAGAATATAAGCATTTGCGAATCAAGTGTATGTGCAAAGTCAGGCATCCTAGGGCCCGTTGATTTGCTTTTATGTTCTCTGTCAAGCAAAAGAAATATATTTTAAGGGGTCTTCGCTCACGAGGTGACCTTGTACAGCTAAGGAAAATTCTGAAATTCAAACTATTAGAAACAACTTGATAGATACGTACATTGTCGCTAACAGGAACTTCGGGAGTCTGCCATCTTTGAGATAGATTCTATGATGTTAACGGACGCTCCACTTTTATTTCCTCCTGGGCAGGTAGGTTTATGGCCTCTTGACACTTCTGGCTATGGCACTGTCCTTCTTCTTTTTAGCTTGAAGAGAATTGAAGTTCTAACTGCCCAATTTATCCCAATTAATTTTGTCTGTAAACCTTTTGATTATCGATATGTTTCATGTGGCAATTGTGAGTCATGTGACTGATGAATCAAATAGGTATTAAACCACCCTGTGTTTCTCTCCATATGTAGCTAGCTATGGCCGCATTACGAAGGGCAAATGAAGTGGACAAGAAAGTGGATCTCAAAAGGTGCTGTCTAAAAACCATCGCTCAGAGTTGTGTGTCATTCTGGCGTCTAAGTATCTTGGCCGCTACAGTTTCTTCTTGGTGAAACTCAGCTTTTTATATTTCTTACCCAACTGCATCTCACTGTAGACACATACCCTGACAACTAGATACATGTTCTTTAGGATCTTAGGTCATAAGGCTGTGAACTCTAATATTGCCCTCTTTAGAACTAGTGATTGTTGACGAATTGCCATGTTGAGCTTTAGTCAAGCTTTCGCATAGAGAAGTTCATTGTCTTGTTTTTTGCGTTCACTTACTTTTTGCAATTGAACAGATATATGGAAGGTATAGTACATCGTCTAGAGACCAAACATTCGTTGTTAGAACTGGAGACTGCGATGGAAGCTATCGATAAGGCGGTGAGTGGAATGAAACTCAGAGGACATGAACGTTCAATTGTCATATTTTAGTCCACACTTTATTATACTATCCATTCTACCGTGTTTATATTGATCATGTCAGAATATCGAAAACGCAGGTGGGGAATTCCATTCACGTTGTTGAAGCAGACGATGTAAAATGTATAGATAAAAAGTTGAAGAGATGTAGGAATCCTGGTCTTCAAGATGAGTAAGTGACATCTGATTATCTTATATAATCGATTTTCAAGGGCACCATCCAGAAAGCATTGTTCTTATATCTCATTGAGTGGTTTGTCACGTCAGGGAGTAATTGTTTTCATCTATCAAGAAGCCCAATGCTTTGAGTTATCATTGTAGTTGGTTCTCGTTGTTTACTGCCTTTACATCAGTTTCGAATGTGATCTGTCGAAAACTAGATAATGTCTCTGATCAAAAGATGTTATTGTTTTACGATGCTACATTGAATGGTATGCAGACTCAAGAAACGAGAAAGAAAAGGAAAACAAAAGCAGAAGAGGCCGTTGCAAGAGGGGGCATCACCTATGGACCCCATGTGTGGCATTTTTACTTTTTCTTTGTTAGATGAAACGACCCGTCTCAACTGTGCATAGTAGTTGCAGGTAGCTTTAGCTTAATTGGTCCTTTAACCCATTGTCAAGACTTCATATCAATAAGTCATCATCCTTTGCAGCAAATGATGCGTGTCATCATTTATGTGACACATCATGAAGTCCTGAAGTACATGAAGTGATGAAGTACATCATTTATGTGACACGCATCATGTGAAGTCATCATTTATTTTAATGAATGACTGTTAGGAAGTTAATCATGTGTTGTATTCGCGGGGGGACACGAATAATCACGGAGTGAAAAGAAGACATAGTGAATCGGAAGGATTTTTTTAGGCTGGAGGGTGTTTGAATCATCTACAGGCGCAGCCTCATCGAAAGAGATGACTAAAGTGCCCTTGAGAAATTCGACCAACATCAACAAGCTTCTGAAACAAGCTCTTCTCAACAAGCATCCAAGAAGTTTCTGGAGATGATCTTCCTGCTCTTCCGCCCCATTGTTACAGCAGCGGGTCCTCGAATTGGATTCGAAGTTGGGGCTGACTCAGCCATGACAATTCTAGGTCTTGGATACAGGGCAGCTGCTAAATTCAAGGAGTATCGCCCATGATGCGACCATACTTGTACCTATGTATATTTGTGCCCTTCATGCAGGAGCTGAGACGTGCTCTCTCGTTGAATTGCAGCAGGATAAGCTTTGCTCCTCATCTGTAGTGCCGTCAAGGGGCATAATTCAACAGCATAATTTAACAAGGGGCAGCAATATTTCCCACTGCAATGTGGAGATGGGGACACGCATCATTTGCTGCGAGGAAGCTTCTCTTCATAAATGATGTAGTATAAGCCGCAGATGAAACGCATCTTGAACGCTGGGCGATATTACTTGGCATCTGAAAAGTTCTCTCTACACAATGAAACGGATTGATTCCGTGATTAGGAACCGCAATTCTTTACTTTTACGGACAGACTGATATTGCTCAAGCATCTCGACTTCACAACACAAACGCCGTGATGATCAGAGTGTTTGTGCTGAGCAGTCGAAGTAGAGTAGATAGAGTAGAGAAGTTCAAAAGACCCTTGTCATATTAGAGATCTTCTTAGTTTAAGTAGTGTTCATCTTACTTCTATCACTGTAAAATTCATGTAGTCATCTAAAGTTCCCTTCTCGCATCTGTGGAGATCTTCTTCTGTCAAGATTCAAATCAGTTGAGAGAGTTCATGGTTCTTGTCAGGTCAATATTACCGTTATTGCATTGACGCCGCATCACTAGGAGAAAGCCGAGTTTATGAAGATAGAGTATTTTTGAATATCCATTGAGTAAGCTGTCGTATTGGATCTTTCCCCACATTATGTTCCATTCGGCCGTTTAACATTGCCGAAACTCCACTTTGTAAGGCTCACATCCTTTAAGAGTTCAACCTTCAACCACTCAAACCTACAGGTAATTGAACGACAATTTATAAGTGATACTAATGAGGTTACAGACCGTCTTGAACTCGGAAAGTTTTCACAACGATTTATTGTATCATAAAGCGATAAGCAGAATTCCATGTACAAGGTCCATAGCGGCTCTTTAAACGTTTTTTCAATGTATGCCAAGTCTCACAATGACATGTTTGGACCTCTAAACTTGATATCAGAAAAACCATTTTTAGCATAAGTTGTAGTGGTTGACATAACAAACGTCTACAAAACATATACATCCAAGTAGAAGTGAGCTATAATGCTTAATGATGTTGTTTAGCAATATTCTAGTGTTATGATCGCAAACTGATATGATAATTTTTTTTTCTTAAATGTAAGAAAATATTCATTATCATAATAGACGGATATTCTTTCATAGATATTTTTGAAATGATCAATCTTCTTTCGGAATCCTATTGTATTATAAATTGTAACAAGCCGACTATTATTACCTAGCACTTGACAGGGAAAAAGTATAATCTTCTCATTTGCAACTAATCCAGATATTTGAAAAACATTTATGAAATATCTTGAGAGTTAAAGGTCATGTAGTTGATTATTTATACATTAATTTTGTAAAAAACCTCGAGTATAAGCATGAGTAAAATTATATCTATAAAAACAGAAGAATTATCTTGGTTGATATGGTAAAAATAAAAGTTTGAATTTTCGAATATTTAGAGTTATCACATGATATTTAAGAGTCACAAATCTTATGGCAGTATATTGATTGTTATATACGGTCACAGTAAAACTAGAGATTTACAAGAACACATAAAATAACGTGGTCACAGTAAAACTAGAGATTTACAAGAACACATAAAATAACGTGGTCACAGTAAAACTAGAGATTTACAAGAACACATAAAATAACGTGGTTCAACCAGAGGGTTATGTCCACCCAGAACTCTCAACACTTTATTCCAAGTCTTGTCGTCGGAAAGACCGTTTGTACACGGAAAACCTTCGAGGTATTTATCCAGAGTCCAGGCGACCGTCTTGGCTATTTATAACTAGGACTCGAGGTTACTCCTTAACTGGATTTAACCTCAACATATACTATGTGAAAAGACAATGCGTTACAATCACATCCTTGATTCCCATAGTTCAAAAAGAGACTTACCATGATATGAGCATTTCAGCACCAAGGTGTGATTGAATAAATGAGATTATTTTAGTTTCAGGTTTGATTTGGCCAAATTCGGAAAAAAAGATAGAGATACATCATCTATAGCATAGGAGAAGCAAAAGTACAACATGATGCTCATGGCAAGAAAACATTCACTGATTTTGCTAATCGGTTGCTCATACCTTTTGAACTTAACAGCTGTATAACAGAGAAAAGGACGTTGAAAACAGTCTGACTTTGGAAGTTCAACCATTACTTTTTGAGATGAGAGTTTGTGCTTCATGTGGAAAATTTTTCCGCGAAGGTTTTTTTATCCAGAATGCTGACTTTGTTATAAGCCTTGTGAGATGAATGATAGTGTTAGAAGACTTATTTTAGTAGACATGTTAGAAACATTTTAGTGTATGTAATGTTTATTTCTTGTGTGAGTTGAAAACTGACTAACCTAATTGGGTTGTTGGGGATCCAAATTTGGATTGTTGATTTTTTCTTCTTATGATCCGTAAGAAATATATGACTTCGATTTTTAATTAAAACGACAGCTGCTTTAAGTGTCAACCCGAAAATGCAATATGTAATTTACAGGCGTTAGGTTGCTCGGTTTCAACGGGAGAAAGTGATATTATTCAGAGAGAGTGCGAAGTCATGCTCGGAATAATGAAGTGTCTCGATTTATTCAAGATTCTGTATGATAGAGTCGTAGTGATCACTACGGCTTAAGAGATGTTAAAAACGGGTTTTGAAAAATTCTTAGGAATTTTAGATGAAGGAATGCTGGATAAACAGTGATAGACGGTTTTTACAAGCAAGGCAGTTGTAGTTATCATTGAATTTCAGAACTTGTTATTGATACAAAATAATTTTCTTGAAACGTTTATTGGAATATTTAGCTACTTGTACGCTTCTGGTGTGTGGAAATCTGATCAATGAAATTTATCTATTTGAGTTACATCTTTCTTTTGGATTTTTTTCTGCTACGCTAGTCTGATCTGCCCTCTCGCTTTGCAGCTACGAACTACTTGCTAGGCGGCTACTCGTCCTTGTCCCGCAGCCTAAAATCTATAAAAAAAAATACATGTTTCCACACTGCCGCTACACGGCCGTCTGCGCTGGGACTTGCTTCGCACCTTCTTGGTGCCCGGGACGCTTGTCTGCTAGCTCTTTATTTCACCTGGCTGGATAGTTGACCAAAGATCAATCTGATTTCTTCAAAATCTGACGCAGTCTGGAAACTCTGTAAACTTGCAAAACTGGTCGAACTTGCTGTCGCGTGCGCCGACTTACTCCTTTGTCCATGTTCCGGACTTTCGACTACGCGCGCTCAGACCTGCACTAGCTTGATAAAGTTTGGTTTTTTGTCTTCGCGTGCGTCTCTCGGAGTATCTATTCTTCAAATCGAAGACCCAAGAGTTTTGACAAACCAACATTATATCCATGCTCACCACCAAACTCAAAAAGTTTTCTGCACAAAAATCAGACTGATCGAGGCCTTCCATGCTATCGTTAAGTCACTTTGATACTTCTGATCAAAGACGGAATCAATTGGGAGGTATAAAAACCCTAGTCTCAATCGACTATAGCAAACAGAAAATACAAAGTTAACCCAAAAATAGAGTTAATCGCAACACTTTCAATCGAGTAGAATGTATGTTATCAAACTATGAAAACATAATGTCAATTTTATCCGTACATTTATTTATATTCAATAAATAAAAACAATGATTTTGACGTTTCATGAAATCCAACTTGTAGATTTTTCATTACAATTGAATATTGTATTTTGGCTTAATTTTAAATCAAAGTCAAAATTCAATTTTTTTATTATAAAAAATTTCATAATAATCATTTTTTATTTTCATTGATGCTGAATCTGACTCAATGATAGTTTTTGGCAATTTTCATGAGTTTAAGTAATTATATATTTTTTTCTTTTATGATTTAATAAATATGATGAAATTAAGAGTCAATGAATAAGTTTAAAAACTTGTAATTTTGAATTATAAAATTTCATTTACAACATATCAAAAGTTGAAAAATTATATTTAAATTGTGTGTTTTTATGATTTCAAAAATGTGTTGAAACTTAAGGGAAAAAACATTATTTGAATTAAGAAATTTTCCAAAACACATGAAAGTCAATTTAAAAATCAATCACTATGTACTAGTGATGAAGCAATACAAATGTCACGACGTGTGTTGTTAGTATTTTATTATTTTAATCAACTCAATCATCATATTGATAACTTTGATAGATTTTATTATTCATATTTTTTCCACATTTATATGAATAATGACAAATAAACAATAGTTACAGAATAGTACTGACAAGATAACATCATGTTCTGTTCTAACTTATCAATCAACAAAAGACTTATGATCATTCCATTGATCTTCATTTTTTGTTCTTCTGTGTGAGCTTTTGCACGGAATATCATTACAATACTCTAAATTAGCTCTTTGACAATTTTGTAGAAGTTAACCAGTCTATTTGATCTAATGAAGTAGTGAAATTAGGTGTTTAAATTATGATCAAAACTATGAAATTGCGTGCTCGAGCCATATTGGAGACAAGCATCATTAAAGTTGCTCATGTTTTATAATATCACAAAATTTGGTGGAAGAATCATTTACCATAATAATCAAAATATTGAAAATATCAATATCACATGACTTGGAACATAGTATGTGGGCTAATATGATTGGGTAATACTTTTGGTAGGTAATGAAATGCTAACTTAAAGTATGTGTAGAAAGTGATACTCACAATATTACATAGTACTTTATGAGTAGCGTGGTTAAAGTTGCTTACAATATTCAACATGAATATAATGTTATATAAATGCAGTGATGGCAAGTTTCCTTGGTAAATCTGTTCATTCTCATTTACAATTGTAGATATTTGATGATGCCATCACGTGCAGGTCCAATATTTATAATCATCACCTCAAGAATTTTGTAGTATGTGATTTCGATAACAAGCTCATTTGTATAATTTGGTATCATGTGACCAAATATAGATATGCACCACCTCCAACAAACCAAAACACATATCAATGCTTTTACTTCTACAAATTTGCTAGCACAACATGCTTGACTCCATAAAAGTTGCAAGTCCTTATGAGCAGGCATGGTTGTTGTTGTGAGAAGGAAACTAAGAGAACAAAATACTAAGACAAATGAAACAGTGAACAAGCTTGCTTCAGATCTATCTGTGAACAATGCTCTTGAATTCTCTGAAAGTATAATATATTAATGAGTTTGAAAGATGTTACAGTTCCATATTTATGTGGTAGTATTAGGGTTAGTGTAAACCCTCTTTGATCCTATATAAATAGAGATAGTCAGTTAGATCTCTTGACAGTGCTTAGTGTTAGGGTAAACCAAGCATCCTAAAAAGTGGCAATTGCCACCCAATGCCACTTTTTGCTTAAAAGTGGCACAATTTCTGTTTTATAAGTGGCATCTATTTAAATTTGACTTAAAAGTTCGTGTTGCTTGCTCTGGAATATGCCTTCAATAGTCAAATTTGTTAAAGAAGTCCGATTCGAGTCGACCTCCCACTTCAGTACCGAAAAATCGGATTCAACCGATGTCGTGTTGGCGAAGGCGGTCGCCAAGCCGCTGCAGAAGCACCGAAGTGTTTTGAATCGGTCCTTCAACGAATCCCAGGCTTTGTTAAACATCGTCT